GCCGTATTTGGTCGCACATCCCACCTCGCCCACCGCGGGACATTCGCCGCCGTCCCGTCAGATATCTACAGTGCCGCAAGGTATAGCGGTCTCGCTGCGCCGAATCTGCCGCTCAACGATGTCCAGCCCCAGTTCATCCGTGGCGCGATGCGAATAGCCGAGTCCCGCGTAATGCCCGTCAGGTTGTTGTCCCCAACCAGCGGCGTATAGAGAACCCCGTTGGACACGAGGAACAGGTTCTCGCCGCCGCTTCCCTCTGACACATTGCCATCCTGCGTCAGCATAATCGCCTCATCGACCCGACACGCGTCGCCTAATCACGTCTTGAGCGAGATGCTGTCACATAGTATGACGCTAAATCTTCACGACGCGGCGGAATGATAGTGTCATCCACGCGCCTCCACGACGATGTACAGCAGCGTATCGCCCCTCCCACTCATCGATGTACGCACGCCAGAACGGCACCACGACGTATCATCGTGAGTCGCTGCCCAGAGTCTTGCAGTCTGCATAAATCTCTGTTTACGCCACCCGCTCCTCGCTCTTGTACGCCCAGCGAGCACGGCATGTCACAGGTCCTCCTGATATCGCGCAGACGTATTGCGCTGCCGGTCCATCGTAATCGCGCACAGTCGTCCACGACGATAGTGGGAGGTCCAGCATCATGATGCGTGCTGGGGCAACCTGATGATGCTCGCCTCATCTAGTGCTTACGCAGCATATCGGAACACTACAGACGCTTTCTCGTGATCCGCGTTGGATCCAGTTGCCAAGCCGTATGGAACCCCTCGAAACAGCCGTGCCTATAGCTGTAAGGCGTGGGTAACGTAACGGCTCACGATTAGTCTCGCGGGACAGAGGCACGAGCTTGTCGCGCGGAAGAAGGCAAGGGCTTCAGGCATTTTGGAACTCTCCTTAACACTTAATTCATCAGCTCTGCACATATTATAGCCCAAAGACACACGCCCATATAAACTATGCACACCCTAATCGTCCAGTCAGGCCACCGCATGATCTTAGTATTCGTCTGACAAGGAGGTGCTAAATCCCACTGAAGGCTGATCGTCTTGGACTACATCCATATCATCCCGACTTTCGACTGAACTCCGACCATCATAGTGGACCGACAATACCCCGCGCCTCACCGGTTGTCGCGCGTGGGGAGACACCCCTGAAGAGACGATAGCGACAATTCAGAGTGTCGCGGCAGCATTTATCAAGCGATATACGAGAGACGGCGAGGATTGCCCTCGAAGCAGTCCTTGGCGGGACGAATCTGAGCACAACGAGCAACAGGCGACGCCGCCTCCTCTCTTCATAAGTCGGCGCACGTGCTGTCTTGCATTGACCTTATTAACCGTGACACTGCACGCGCAACCGACGCAGGATTGATTGGCATCTTTTGCCAGACAGGACGCGGCGGCAGCCTGAGTGTGGATGAACTCTGTACCGGCAGCGCGAAAGACTACGATATAGGTTCCCCACAGAGCGTGGTCGCGACCTGAAGCCGGGCACTTTGCGCAGCATCATACGAGACTTAGGCATATCAAAGAGTGACTTCGATCAAGCATAACTCGCTTTACCACACGTCTATACGCCGCCATCAGAACCTACCCCTAGCAATACCCCAGGCACCGACCCACCCCTCTGCATCTCCGCCTCCTCCAGCATCCGCTCCAGCAGCACAAACGACGCCTCGTTCGCAAAGTCCAGCGCGAGGCGCAACGCCGAACAGCACGCTGGCAGTCGGATCAGACCCGCGCCTCCACCGTCTCCCCAAGCGCCGATGTTTCACTATGAGGAAAAGGCAACCCGCGCTTCGCTCATGAGCGACCGCTCGCTCGCGCATCGCCCTCACGCTCTTCAACCGGCACGGCGTCACCAGCCTAGCTTGCCCTCACATGCGGTGCGTCAGCGTAACCCCTCTACGTCTCCACACCTGCGCCAGCTCCAACATCACCCGCGCGCGCGGCACATTGATAAGCTCATCCGCATAGTCCGTAATCTCCACAACCTCTTCGCTCATGGGCGCTATCCTTCACTCTGCCGCACTCGCTCCAACTCCGCCTGAAGTTCCCGTGTCCTTGCCTCAGCCTCTTCCGCTCTCGCCTCAGCCTCCTGCCGCAGAGCGCGCTCAGGACCCAGCGTGTATCTCAGAGCACCATTTCGCCCGTAACGTCGAGCTGCGCAGAAAGAGTCGCACCGTAGTATTCTCGTCCTCTGTGCGATAGTAGAAGTCCACACCAAGAACCTCGCTGCGCGACCATATATCCCCGTTGGCTTCAGTGTGTAGCTCGAACCGCACATATTCCCCATCCACCAGTCGCTCGCCAACAAGCGGCTCGCCGTAGTATTCGCCCCTTCTGTCCAGTCGCCAGTATTCCTTTCTGAGCACGCCATCTCGCATCTATCTCGCAGCTTGCTCCGACACAACGCAGTCTCGTCGGCGCGGTGCTTTCCGACGCCACTTCCAGTACGAAACAACGCACGCTCGACCAGGCTAGCTGTCACCAACGGGACACTCGCTCCTATGACTGAGTAGCTGCGTGTAGCGTCACAGACTAATTATACATTGGCTGGACGTCTGTTTCAGCCGCGAACACGACAAACCCGTCCGGCGCCACATACGAGCCGGGTCATCTCGACGGTTGTACAATGACCTCGTCTGCCCCGCGGACATAGACATCAGTGATGCTGGGTCATTCATGCATATCCAGTGCCTTTGAAGTATGGTGACATACACTACAGGGTATCTCGTGTCGTCTTGCTGCATTCCGTCTTCCGGCGGCTCCGGGTCGTCTATCAGGTCGTACCAGGGGGTTTCTACCGCGTCCGCTGTCGCATTGGCTGACTGCGGAGCATTGGTTCTGGCAGTCGTCATCGTCAAGCCTCCGATGCGGCGTGTTCAGGATAAAGGTTGCGGATATTCTAGCATAGGCAGATAGGCAGATAGGCTCTTCTGCAAATTCTCGACCACCGAAAACTGATTACTGCCACATTGACCAACTGATATACTTACATACGGATAAACAATACCTCGAGGTGTCCATTGATTAACATTCAGCTCATACGAAACAGCCCTGACGAAGTGCGCGAGGCAATGCGCCGCCGCCACGAAGACGCGCCACTCGACCGCATCACGAGCTAGACGCAGATCGCCGCACGGCAATCGTCGAAGCCGACGAATTGCGCGCCCGCCGCAACGAGGTCAGCCGCCAGATTGGACAGACGCGCGAGCGCCCCCAGGAGCTGATAGATGAAATGCGGCAGGTCAGCGCCCGCATCAGGAACCTCGAAGAGACCATCCGCGCCCTCGAATCCGAGGTCAACGCCCTCCTCCTCAGCATCCCCAACATGCCCCTCGACGACGTGCCGCCCGGCGCAGACGAAAGCGCCAACGTGGTCAAATACATCAAGGGCGAAGCCCCGCACTTCGACTTCGAGCCGCTGCCCCACTGGGAACTCGGCGAAAGCCTCGGCATCATAGACTTTCAGCGCGGCGCTAAAATCGCAGGCTCCCGCTTCTTCGTACTCAAGGGCAAGGGCGCCCGCCTCCAGCGCGCGCTCATAGACTGGATGCTCGACACACACACCGGCGAGCACGGCTACGAGGAGCTCTACCTGCCCAACATCGCAACCACCGAGTCCGCGACCGCCAACAGCAACCTGCCCAAGTTCGCCGACACCATGTATCGCGACGACGAGGACGACCTATGGCTGCTGCCACCGCTGAGATGGCGATAACCAACATGCACCGCGACGAGATATTGCAGCCGGACACACTGCCTCTGAAATATGTCGCCCACACGCCCTGCTTCCGCCGTGAGAAGGCAGCAGCAGGACGCGACACGCGCGGCATAAAGCGCGTCCACCAGTTCGAGAAGGTCGAGATGTACCGCTTCGTCGAGCCGCACGAATCAGACGACGCCCTGCAAAGCCTGCTCAGCGAAGCCGAAACGATATGCGCTCGGCTCGGCATACGCTACCGCCTGCTGGAACTCTGCGCCGGCGACATCGGCTTCCAGTCCGCCAGGACCTACGACATCGAGATGTGGGCGCCCGGCTGCGACGAGTGGCTCGAAGTCAGCTCTTGCTCCACATGCACCGACTTTCAGGCACGCCGCGCCTCCATTCGCTACCGCCCGGAGAATGGCGCAAGACCGCGCTTCGTGCACACCCTCAACGGCTCCGGCCTCGCCCTCCCACGCGTCATCATCGCAATCCTCGAAAACTACCAGCAAGCCGACGGCTCAGTAGTCGTCCCCGAAGTCCTCCGCCCCTACACCGGCTTCGACAAGATCGAAAACTGATCAGCTCATTCCCTTCCCCCTCGATGAGGGAAGGCTAGGATGGGGGTGACATCGGGGCACATGTTCCTTTTAGTCGGCAGCAGTAGCGACGACTCGGCTCGATGGAGATTCTAGGCTACAGGTATCCGACGATAGTCTCCAGTCGTCCATCCAGCGGGTTGACTTTGAGTGCCAATCCCTCGAGGGCATATGCGCCTAGCAGTGGAACACGCATGTCTTCATCGCCGAACACCACAATGGTCGGAGCGGAGTCTCCGTTTATCCTGACCATTGCTTGTCCCAGCTCATACTCCTTTGCGCTGCCGTCAGCCAACGTGAAGGAAAGGGTTCTGTAAGGAGCAATCCCCAATCTATGTAATATGGACGCAGGCAGCATGGTATAGGACGCGCCCGTGTCCACCAGCGCCTCAATTCTCTCGAAGCGGGTGCCGTCTAGGTCTCCTATCTCTACTGGTACCCTGAAAACGCCCAAGAATTCCTCTCAAACCTACCCCACAACCACCGGATAGCTATACTCTTCCTTCAGCAGCCGCTTCAGCACCCTCCCCATCGGATTGCGCGGCAACTCTTTGCAGAACACCACCGACTCCGGCTTCTTGAAACTCGCCAGTCGCTGCCGGCAGTATTCCGAGATGGCCTCTTCGCTCGCCTCACCGCCGTCCCTAAGCACGACAATCGCGCGCACACGCTCACCCCAGTCCAGGTCCGGCACGCCGATAATCGCCGCTTCCTCAATCGCCTCGTGCGATTGCAGCACCTGCTCCACCTCTTCCGGCGACACCATCTCGCCGCCGCGCTTGATGAAGTCCCGCGCGCGACCCGCAAGGTAGATATACCCGTCCTCATCCTGATACCCCAGGTCGCCAGTGAACAGCCACCCGCCGCGTATCGTCTCCGTCGTCGCCTCTTCCTGGTTCCAGTAGCCCTTCATCAGCCGCGCGCCGCGTGCAGCAATCTCGCCCGTCTCGCCCAGAGCCGCAAGCTCGCCTTCCTCGTTGAATATCCGTACCTCGACATCGTCCAGCGGCTTGCCTATCGAGCCAGGTGCTTCAGCTTGCGCTCGATCTCCTCTTCGTCCCCCTCCAGAACATGGTCTTCAGGCGGCAGCATCGTAATCGTCGCAGCAGTCTCCGTCTGCCCGAATGCGTTGATAAAGTAACTGCCCGGGAACTCCTGAATAGCCTGCCGTATCACAGGCAGAGGCATCGGCGCAGCGCCGTATGTAATGACCTGCAGGCTGGTCAGGTTGTGCTGATGAAATTCCGGATGGTCCATCAGCATCTTCAGCATCGTCGGAACCATCATCGCGCGAGTGGCTTGCTCTTGCTCAACAAGCTCCATCCACTGCTTCGCCTCGAATTGCCGCTGTATCAACAGCGTCCGACCGCCGAAAATCGCCGCCATCACCGACTGCACACCCGCGATGTGATAAAGCGGCACGGTCAGTATGTTCGTGTCCTCTTCGTCCGGGTCCGCAGGTGTAACTGTGCTCAGGATGTATGACGAAAAACTGTCATGCGTCAGCATCACGCCCTTCGGGAAACTCGTCGTCCCCGATGTGAACAGAATCATCGTCAGGTCGTCGCCATCGCCCTCTGGGAATCGCTCGAAGTCATCTGCGTTCTCAAGTAGCGCATCGTATGAATGCCAGCCCTCGGCCTCAGCCTCCAGCGCAATGAAATTCTGAAGCACATCAACGCTCTTAGCACACTCCTGAACAAGGCTCAGATACCGCCCGCCCGCGAATATCGCCTTTGGCCCTGCATCCTTCAGCATGTGCGTCAACTCATCCACGCGAGTGCGGAAGTTGATAGGCACGAACACCGCATCCAGCTTCGCCGTAGCGAAATACGCCTCGATGTACTGGTTGCAGTTCACCTGAAGCATAGCCACGCGGTCGCCCGCGCCCACGCCCATATCTGCCAGCGCATTCGCCAGCCGGTTCACCCGTGCCTGAGCTCCTCGTAGCTGATGCGGCTGTCCTCGAAAATCATCGCCAGCCTGTCAGGCACGATAGCCGTCGAAATCATCAAAATTCGTAGTGTTCATTAGTCCCCTATACTTTCTATGAACCCTCTTCCGTCATCCCTGCCTTCGCAGGAATACGCACATATTCGAGCGCAGTGATACTGCGAATTGCACCAAGAAATGTTATCACATCGCAACCCGCAAAGTCAGTCAATCACCCGCCCAACAGCGCATCTTGGATAGCGTAAAGTCCCTTCCCCCTCGATAGGGGAAGGTTAGGATGGGGGTGAAAGGAGTAATGCCACTCCAGAATCCGACAAGCCACCTCCTTGTCATTCCGAACACAGCGGTCTTCACTCTGTCATTCCGAACGCAGCGAAGCGAAGTGAAGAATCTGAAATCCCCGCACCGCTGCGCATAGAAGTAATCGGGTTTCCCGTCGCCCTCTGAACGCCAATTGAAGTCCGGGACAGGCCAGAGATTCACTACATGCCAACACCCCTGACAGCGAATACCTACCCTTATACAGAATTTGGAAGCAATGGCTTTTGCCACTTCAGAGAACATAAACCACTGAGACCACAGTGCCATAACGACATTGATCGGCGTCACTATGTAACTTGAAGCAATATTAGTAAGGCGAATCAGCACAGAGACTCTAGCTCTGGACAGATAGGATGGCAGCAACGCCGCAGTGGTCCGACAACTTGCTCCCGCCAGTTATGTTGCTGATCACGCACAGGGATTCGGCTACGAACTCCTCGCTCAATGCCATGTGATCGATGCATCGGCGACCCCTGTGGCCAAGTGCGGAGGTGGCAATTGTCACGTGCTCAGGCATTGCGTCCTGCAATGCTGACCGCAGATCGGGCGGCACATACTTCCCTTGGCCTATCCTCTGGTTGAAGTCACCCGTTACGATAAATGGCCGGTCCTGTACCCCTTTCAGCAGTTCGGAAAGACCGTCCAGGTATCGTGCGTGGTCCTCCCAATGTCTCTTCCGTTCAGATCCTCGTCGAGCCTCGGTTCGGGACCCGCGCCAAGGAATGCAGGTTCCGATCACTGTCACCTCACCGACTGGAGTCCGCGTTAACTACTCCGGACACGTACCGGCCGGAGTGCCATGCCCACCAAGCCCAGATCGTCGACGCTCTCCCAGGTTCTCCGCGGACCACAGCACGACCTGATCCGCATATTCTCTCCTAATCGTATATCCGTAGTCGGCCCGCGAGCAGCTCACATGCCGCCTGAGGACGCAGATCTGTGTGCGCCTCCATTGTCACGCCGACGACTGTCAGGACTGTACCCGGCCCGTCGATCCGTTCTGCGGATTTCAGGGGTGACTGTGACCTGAGCCCATTCTTCTCCACATTCCAGTTGACCAGGCTAGGCTCATAGTCATGTCGCTGTCTCCTTGATTCATCGGGCAGCAATCCGCTGTTCAGTCCCGTGTGGTACTTCTGATTGCACCTGTATTAGCCTGAACCAGAAGTCTCGTCCCCTTAACAGGAAGACGATACGATGGATAGCGACTCATGCCAAGCCTTCGTCTCATTTTCCACTATGATCTGATTGCCAATAAAATAGTCGCTATCACAGTCTACACACGGCCACTCAGCATTTCTAGAATGGCCGGTCGAGCTGCCACTATTTTCTTATTGTCTCCAGATCGGCAACTCTCAATAACCATCCATATGCTAAACTCCAAAATCATCACTTCGCATCCTGTCATAACTAATCATCACAAAGGACAAAGAACCATGACCGCCAAGCCAACCACCATCCACGTCCTCGGCGCAGGCACGCCCACGCCCACACCCACCCGATTCGGCTCCGCATTCGCCCTGCAGATCGGCGACGAGCAGATGATGATCGACTGCGGTCCCGCCGCCACGCACAAGCTCGTCAAGGCTGGCCTCTGGCCCACCGACATCGACTACCTCTTCTTCACCCACCACCACTTCGACCACGACATCGACTACCCCTGCTTCCTCCTATGCCGCTGGGACCAGAGCACCGGCAAGGAGAACACCCTGCAGGTCTTCGGCCCTACCCTCACCGAGCGCATCACGCACGGCATCCTTGACGAGAACGAGGGCATCTTCGCCCACGACTGGAAGGCGCGTGTTGGCCATCCCCTCAGCCAGCGCATCCACCAGAACCGAGGCGGCGACCTACCACGCAAGCCCCCGCACGTGCTCGCAACCGATGTAGGCCCCGGCCCCGTCTTCTCCGGCAGCGACTGGCAGGTCATCGCAGCCCCCGCCGTGCATGTCCAGCCCTTCCTTGATTCCCTCGCATACCGCTTCGACACCCCCGCAGGCAGCGTCGTCTTCACCGGCGACACTCAGCCCTGCGACTCCGTAACCGAGCTTGCGAAAGACGCCGACCTCATGCTCTGCATGTGCTGGGACGACCAGGAGATCATGGACGCCGACGGCGAAGCCCCCGGTCAGTGTGGCACTCTTGACGCCGCGCGCATGGCGCAGACAGCAGGCGTAAAGCGCCTCGCACTCGTCCACATCGGCCCCCACCTGTCCCAACACGGCCCCATGGAAAAGGGCATCGGCGATGTCCGTGAAATCTACGACGGCGGCATCCTCTTCACCGACGAGCTCCAGACGATTAGCCTATAATAAGACAGGCAATCAGCAAGGAGCGCGCACCTATGCAGCAAGACAAAGCCCTACAAATCCTCTCCGAACACCGCCAGTCCCTCTCCGACAAGTACGGCGTCAAGAAAATCGCAGGCGTCTTCCCCTACGAAGGAAACAACTCGGCGAACTGCGAATGCGAGTGCGGACGTTGCTGCGGCTATCATCCTGACATAAAGATAGGCGTCGCCGTCGAATATAAGCCAGATGCTCGCCCCGGCTTTGACTTCTTCGGCCTGCAGAACGATGTAGCAGACCTTTTGGGCTGCGACATCTTGCTGGAAATGATTGGCGGTCATCGAGATACCCGCTTCAAATTGTCCACCGATTACTTGAAGGACGTCGTCTATGTCGAGTAGGACTTGGCAAGAACGCGTTCAGGACATCCTTGACGCAGCGCATCAAATCGGCATCTATGTTCCGGGAATGACTTTTGAAAGATTTGTCGACGACACTCGAACTTTCGACGCTGTAGTCCGCGCACCATGTAATGCATAGGATTTTGACTGAGAAAGAGGGAGAGGCAAAGGGAAGTAGGGTCGTGGAGATAAAGAGACCTTCTCTTCTCGTCTCCTTCCCGTCCAACAGATATTCGCGCGCGCCTGTCGGATATTCCTTGGGGCGACATTATAGTATGCGAAACGACTATGGTGTGTTGACAATTGTATTAAACTTAGCATGTCAACTCTAAACTAACTCTGGGCCAGTGTCAGATACTCGATTTCCTGAAAGAGGAGACCACGTCTATGTCAAGTCTGAGCGGGACTGGCAAACGATTCATAGAAGGGTCTGTGGATGAGCAGTCAGTCGCTCCGTGGAGGATGCTTCCGGCAGAATACGGCAAGTGGTACAGCGTGTACAGGCGCTTTCGATGGAGCGAGCAGGGTGTTTGGGAGAAGATGCATCTGTACTTCTCCAAAGAGCCGGATATGGAGCATCTGATAATAGACAGCACGACAGTGCGTGCGCATCCCTGTGCTGCGGGTGCCCCGCATAAAAAGGGGGACAGCAGTCGCAGGCTCTGGGAGAAGCCGAGGCGGCTTCAGCACGAGGTGCATGTGAGTGTTGACGCTCTGGGCAATCCATTGAGATTCACGCTCACTGGGGTCAGGCACACGACATCACTCCAGCTGATGAACGATAGACGGCATTGAGAGCGACTATGTGATGCGGACCGCGGATATGACTCACAGCGATTGCGTGAGCGCATCGTTGAATGGAGCACGCCTGTGATACCGCCTCGTTCCAACATGACAGAGCCACTGCAAATATGATGACTCTGTACGGAGAGCGTCACCTGGTTGAGTGTTACATAAATAAGATGAAGCATTATCGACATTTTTCAGCCGGTTCGACAGTTAGCGAAGATTACCTGCTTCCTACACTTTGTCGGCACCCTTATCTGGCTGAAATGAAATGTCAACAAACACACAACACAAGTATTTCACTCGATTCATCAATAGTGTGGAATGCCGCCACCCGGCACGTTCCTCCCCTCGCTTCCCAAATCCAAGCCTACTTAGCATCCCCCCACACATGACCACCATCCCTCCCGCACATTGACCCTCATCAAGACCATCGCCGACTGGCGACCGCGCACACCCTTCTACTACGGCTGGCTCATCCTCGCCATGTCCGCAGTCGGCACCTACGCCGCCACCGGCTCGACGCAACTCGTCCTCGGCGGCGTGCAGAACTTCATCTTCGAAGACATGGGATGGGACCGCAGCACCATCGCCTACGCCGTAACCGCCGGCACATGGGCATCCGGCCTCATCACGCCCTTCGTCGGCACGCTCGCAGACCGCTACGGCCCCCGCGGACTCATGCCCATCGCAGCCTTCATCGCAGGACTGTGCTTCTTCGCAATCGCGGGCATGCAGGCAGTCTGGCACTTCTACGCCGCCTACATCGTCGCCCGCACCATCGCAAGCCCCATGCTCGTCGGAGTCGTACCCCGCACCGCAGCCGTGAACTTCTTCAACCGCCGCCGCAACCTCGCGCTCGGCATATCCGCTATGGCGCGTCCCTTCGGCGGCGCAATCAACATTCAGATATTCTCGCTCATTGCATTTGCAGCCAGTTGGCGCACCGCGTTTCAAGTACAGGGCATAATATCCCTGCTGATAGTCATACCCCTGTTTCTCGTCATGCGCCGCAGCCCCGCCGACATAGGCTTGCAGGCCGACGGCGCAGCCGCATCGCGCAAACGCAGCGCCCCCACATCCGACCCCTCGCCATCGGACAGCGACAACGACCGGCCTGCTCAATCTCCGGCATCCGAAAATTCCGACTGGACCGCCGGCCAGGCAGCCCGCACATCCGCATTCTGGCTCATCATCATCGCCGAAGCCCTCGTCATCCTTATGTCCGGCACCATCAACTTCCAGATAGTCCCATACCTCCGCGACGTCGGCATATCCCCCGCAATCGCCGCGGGCGCGCTCAGCCTCAGCTCCCTGCTCGGCTCACTCGGCAACCCCTTCTGGGGATGGCTCTCCGACATCTTCTCGCCACGCCGCCTCGCCCTCATCACCCTCGCCATCTCCGGATGCGCCGTCTCCCTCTTCGTCATCGTCCCCGAAGGTCGCCTCAGCCTCGTCGTCGTCATACTCTACGGCAGTCTCGCAGGCGGCTTGAACATCCTCGGCCACATGATGATCGCCCAGTACTTCGGCAGGTCCTCGTTCGGCTCCATCACCGGCCTCATGGGACCCTTCCAGACCGGCGCGCTCGGCCTCGGCCCCACGCTCGGCTCGATCCTCTACCGCATCACCGGCGGCTACCGCACCATATACCTCTTCGGCGTGCTATCCTACATCCTGGCGCTCGCCTGCATACTGGCAACCCGCCAACCCAGCATCCTACCGATAAGTCCCCTCTCCCTCTGGGAGAGGGCTAGGGTGAGGGCAAAAAGTCCCTTCCTCTTGATGGGGGAAGGTTAGGATGGGGGTGATAAAATTCCACCATCCTGTCTATCCATGTAAGTCCCTTAGGAGAAAACCATGACAACCACATCCCACGTAGCAATCATCGGCGGCGGCGCAATGGGCTGCGCCACCGCATACTACCTCGCCAAAGCAGGCATCAGCTCCACCATCATCGAAAGCGAAGGCATCGCAACTCAGGCATCCGGCTACAACGCCGGCGGACTCAATCCACTGCAAGGCGCCGGGCATCCCCGGCCCCCTCAGCGACCTCGCCGCAGCGTCTTTCAGCATGCACGCCGACCTCGCCCAGACCCTCGAAGACAGAATCCGGCGTCGAGTACCACCACAAGACCATCGCATTCGTCACCGTAGCCTTCGACGACTCCGACCTCCCCGCCATGCAGGAAACCCACGACATCTTCGACGCAGCCGACGGATCAACGCCCACTGGCTCGACGCAGCCGACCTCCGCGAGATGGAGAACCGCGCCTCAACCCCGCAGCGCAGCGCGGCATCTACGCTTATGCAACGCAATCCTCAGCGGCTACGAATACACCCTAGCCCTCGCACGCGCCGCAGAGCGCAACGGCGCGCAGATTCGTCAGGGCAAGGCAGTTGGATTGCAGACCGAGGCGACCGCGTAACAGGCGTAACCCTCGAAGACGGCGAACTCGCCTGCGACGCCGTAGTAATAGCTTCCGGCCCCTGGAGCGCCCACCACACCGAGGAATGGCTCGGCCGTAAGCATCCCCGTCGAGCCATACAAAGGCGAGATTCTGCGCCTCCGCATAAACGAACCAATGCCCCCGCTCGACCTCAGTGGCGGCGGCGCAAACCTCCACATCCGCGCCGACGGACTCCTCTGGGTAGGCGCAACCGAAGAGCGCAAAGGCTTCGACCGCCAGCCCAGCGACTCCGCACGCAAAACCCTCATGAAAGGCGCAACCACCCTCATGCCCTTCCTCGCCGACGCCGAGATAGCCAAGCACACCGCCTGCCTCCGCCCCCTCACACCCGACTGGCTCCCCATCGTAGGCGCAGCCCCCGCTGGCAAAACGCCTCCTACCTGCGCCACCGGCGCAGGCAAAAAGGTATCGCTCTATCCCCCGCCATCGGCAAGCGTTTTGCAGTCGGCGGGGTGGACATGACACGGGACGGGAAGACGCATAATTACAACGGAGACACAAACATAACGCTGAAGGCTTCGCACCGAGCGCTCTCTTCTCCTAGTATCTCGTATGTCGCGTCTGGCGTTCCTCGGTAGACATAGCTTTTCCTCACCACCACCGTCGCCGACGCGAATAAGACCCTGCCTGCCGTCAGCAAATCGTCAGCACAACGCATCGCTACTCGTCACGTCCGGATGCTCTTGACCTCGATCGGATGCAACGGCGTTGTCGTAAAGGTCGTCCTCCGCCCAGTCTCAGTACTCTTTCTGCCGCGCACGTCAACTTCGCGGCAAAAGACTCCCGCCGCTGTCAATCAGCACTGCCCTAAACGCTCCTCGCCGGCTTCGAACCGCACGCTTCGTTGACAGCAGAACAATTGCGGATCCTGTGACGTCGTTTGTCCGTAGACGTCAGCGTCTATGTTAGGACCCGATGATTAGAGTATGAAATCGAGTCATTAATACGATTAGGACAGCGCTGCCGTAATTGCGGCTGCAGCAATGGCTATTCCACGAGAAGTTAGCCGAAAATGCGAGTCGATCGTACTTACATTAGCCTGATTGAGCGTGGACTACGCAATCCTCCTTCACTAATCTGCTGATTGAGCGGAAGGTCTCGACATTTTCGCGACTTCGACTACTATGGGTAACTCGACTTTACTGCTCAGTTTCAGACACTCACGCTGCTCGATTTTGAAGAATGGTTGTTGAGGCATAATGAACCACGAATTACTAAAGCGCGCAGTGCTGAAATAAAGCAATCGATGCACACTAGCCATAACTACTGCGTCGTATAGAGAGCGTGGCGCCAAAGCGTCCCCTGCCCAAAAATACAGTAATGGCCTGAGGCCAAAACGCGCTCATACGCAGTGAGCGTCTGAGTCAACGTATTCACGAAGTTACAAAAAAAAGTGTCAAGGGACGAACTCATAGCAGGTATTATCACAAAATACATCCTTTCCCATTGGAGCGTTAATTCCCCGAATTAACGTCTGGGGATATTACTTAAAAAGCAAGAGGCAAGATGTTAGTAGTACTTGTGGGAGATGCGCGCCTACGACGGAAAAAATCAAGATGGCCCCTTAGAGGACAAAAATAGAAAAAACTTGAGCTTGAGGCAACCAGACAATCCATTGTAATTGGTCGTCATGAGACATCTATCGAGTATTGACAAGAACTTCCGATTACGCTTATCGGAGAGACGTCGCCGAAACAATGAACCTCAGATCCGCCACCCTACAGCTAGTAATCGGGAGAGTATACCTCGCTTGCTTTAAAGAACTACGACGAACAGTCAATGTGAAGAAAATCGAGTACGATGGCAAGATAAATAAATATACGAATGTAGAAAAGAAAAGGTCCATATCTATATTCAATCTAGGAACGGGCGAGATACCTATCAGGACGTAAAGCTAGTACAAATACGAGAGATGCCTATGGCCTGCTCGTCGACTTCAGTCAAACCCTACCAAGATATACAACACGCTCAATGAACTTCGCGCAAGGACAGGATACAGGATAGTAAGTAACACTTTGATGAAGATTTCTCTCGACTGTCCCAATGAACTTCTCCACGACCTAGTGGAAGCCTATTTCCGAGGCACAGATACAGTGAACCTGCTCATTAATGGGAATGTGGACGGGGTAGTTAGCTGGCACAGCGTCTTGGGAACTACTTCGAGAACCTCGTCAACCGAGATAGCAACAGTCGCCGATATAGTCCTGTAGTATCTCTCCGTCGAGAGCGAGTAAGAGTCTGCCGCGGGCAGGGAAATGTCAGGAACGCCGACGACGAAACGTTCTATGCAATTCTTTGGAGCCTGATAGTCTCCATCTATCTGAAATGAGGTTAGCCTAGCGGAGTAGTCCATTACCAAGGAAATTGAGGATCTTGTAGAAACCCGACTGTTAAGGGAGCGAAAAACAGGTTGCCGCTTCCTTGCGGCGTCACAGAATATCCGTTGACAGAATAGGATGTCTGTTTCGTCACGCAGGAATTGTGGACCCGATGAATGTTTCGTCAGCAGAAGTTTCGGTCCAGGGGCCTCCTACCTGTGTCACTCAACCATTCGTAGCCTCGGCGTGGAACCTTTGTCCCTTATCCCGCTTCAAAAGAGCGTCTTGGTTGTAGTTTAGTGCGCGTATGCGTTGGGATATGGCTGGCAAAGCTCACTCTCTTCAATTGGAACCATCCCACCAATTTTGCGATACGGCTGACTGACACGGATGTGATTCCATATGAGTTGATCTTCGTCGGAGATTCAGCGATTTGGATTGCGACTTCGTGATGCAGCGTCAATCCCTATGGTCAATGCAGTATTGATCCTGGATAAATTAGAACTGCCTTTGAGTTAATAGAGCCTTCATTGATTAGAAAGACGGAATCCTTCAGCGTAGCGAAGCCAACGTGAATTCCAGCAAGCTTCCCCAGAGGCGTTCCTGTCGTCTCGATTTGCTGAAGAGAAAATAGAAAACATAATAGAATAAAAATTCCTCAGGTGTTAGTAGGAGCGAGAGCCATTTCTCGTCTTCAACCCGACTTGATCCTCAACGTGATGGAAATCGGCGGCTTCAAGGTATCTAGTGTGTCTCGGGCTCAGGTTTGCATCGATAGAAACGAAGTGTTCTTCAGATGTCCTTTATCCAAAAACATCAAGCATGTGTAAGCTGATGACTCAGGAAAAACTTTCTTATGCCCAAAGTCAACAATAGTATGTATACTCTGATGCCGTTGAAGAACATCCCTCACTCCTTTGCCCGCCAAGGATGTATAGATATTGTCTGGGTTATAGATCCTAAGACACCAGATTCAGACAGAAAACGGTATCAGCAATCAGTAAAATAACATGCCAGACTAAAACTCCTGTGTGTGAACTGGGAGACGTGTACGGAGTGCTGTACGATATCGATCCTCCATGTCTGAGCTTGACATCCGGTGATTTGTCACGACTGATTCACAAGCCTCGCAGTCAATCCAAAAGGTTCAGACCTTCTCTTTGGATCAGAGCTGTCTGCTGGAGCAAGGAACTGAATCTGACGGAGGAGTGATTCGAACTTCAGCGCAGAATAGTTCAAGTGATAACGTTGTGCATCACTAGCTCGCGTTGATATCTATGACAATAGGAAATCATTATGACACGCTTCTTAGAGATGCGTACTTTCGGAAAGTACGGGGATGGCTCTACCAAGAAGCACACCAGCTACGCAAGAGGGTCAATAAGGTATGGCGCGTTCCGGTTAGAACGAATTCCATGCACTGTCTCAGATGTACATCGATGCACATAGTTGGTGTATAGACAGTGCCCTCTGTTTTTTGTGCGCTTTGCGTCGAGGTGGATCAAATTCTCAAAAGCGACTCGACCTCTTTAGAGAAAATTCTCGTGGACTGAGATGAGTCCAGCTTCAGATCATTCAGCTGGTGCCACATCGTTACACGCTGCGATATTCGCCAATGTGAAACGCGACGAGGCTTTGTTCACTCGGAGCCACGCTCTAACTACGGAGGAATAGGACATGTTCCCTGCCGTATTCGTCACTATAGTGCTGACCAAACTGGCCATTGTCGCGTTCATAGTCTGGATTGTTGCCATTGTGGATTCCAAGATTACAGGGTTATACTGAGTTCTGCGTAGTGTATTTCGCCATTTAGTTAGCCATACTAGGATGCTTTGCTCTCCCCTAATCCGCCGCGCTCACCACCGTACGATGATGTACTTCAAACAAGTTCAGCGAGCGCCTCTTGCGGACTGGCGGCGCGGATTGGCGAGTGTTGATAGTCCCGGATATTCCTCGTTACGATGTACCGCGCGCCACATGCGCGCGCGGCAGCCACCTGCATCGCGTCCTCAAAGTCCGCCATCGGAAGCGCGGCGGCGTAGCGAATACCTTCAGTGTCGGTCATTGCCACTCCAACAAACCGGGTCAGTTCGACGATGAAATCTCGCGTGCCAACTCCGCCACGAGTTGGAGCCACTATGTAATAGAGGTTAGATACGGAGTGCCAGGCGATGCAGGCAGGCTCAACTCCGGACTCAATAATATCCAGCAGTTTCGACGCCGGCTCAGAGTGCGGACTTCTGTCTAGCGCGATGTCTATAAGCACATCGTTGTCGATTAGCATCATGTCAGATACTTCTTTGCCAGAGCGTCGTAACGCGCATCGTCGCGCTCTGCCGCTTTGAACTTGCCGCGCCAACGCGATGCGAAGGATGGCGCGGCATCAGCATCTAATTCCTTGAACTCCTCCAGCGACCTGAACTCCAGCGGCTTGCTACGCATCTCATTCAGCATTTCGAGGTCGTCCAGGTCCTCAAGCCGCTCCAGCATCTCCACATACTCCTGCATCCCCACGATAACCGCGGCTGGTTCACCATCCTCCACCACAATCTGAATCGGCCTTTTCCTAACCTCTGGTTCCATTTCCTATCCCCTCCATCCTGTTTGCTCCGTCCCCTGACGGCTGATGGCTGACCGCTAATCCCCTAATCCGCCGCGCTCACCACACCCTCCGCCTCCACACCCAGCAGCCCCTACAACGCGATAAAGCCATGCTAATCGCAGCCACCGAAAGCGTCAAACCACCTGCATAATCCATTCGCCCTGAGCTCGTCGAAGTACACAATAATCAACTTGCTTCCAACCCAGCCCTTCGTTTAGTATGACTTTACACCTAGCAACATATTTCAGTACCTTGTAATAGTGAAGCTACCTAAAAAACAGTGCTCCTTGCAGAAGAGTTAATTTTGGCAACACAGACAGACCCCGAACGCATAGCAAGCCTTGAAACCGCCATCCAGTATCTCGCAGGCGGCCAGGCCCGCATGGACGCGCGTCTCGATCGCATCGAGGCGAAAGTTGACCGCCTCGCAATCATCATGATAGCCGGTCTCTTCGGCCTTCTCGCCGCGATGATCGGCGGCTTCTGGCTCGTCTCAGGCTAAAAAAGCCCCCTAATCCGCCGCGCTCACCACTCCCTCCGCCTCCACGCCCAGCATCCGCACAAGATACTGCCCCGTCTGCGAGTGCGCCATCCGCGCCACATCCTCCGGCGTCCCCTCCGCGATCAGGCTGCCACCCTTGTCACCCGCGCCCGGCCCCAGGTCAATCAGCCAGTCCGCGTTCTTTATCATGTCCAGGTGATGCTCGATAAGCACCACCGTATTCCCCGCATCCACCAGCCGATGCAGCACCCGCAGCAAATACGCGCAGTCCTCAAACGACAGCCCCGTCGTCGGCTCGTCCAGAATATACAGCGTCTTCCCCGTCGCCCGCTTCGACAGCTCCTTCGCCAATTTCACCCGCTGCGCCTCGCCCCCGCTCAACTGCGTCGCCGGCTGCCCCAGCCGTATGTATCCCAGCCCCACATCCTGCAATGTTTGCAGCCGCCTCCGCACTCGCGGTATATTCTCGAACGCCTCCAGCGCCTCCGTGACCGTCATCGCCAGCACATCCGCGATATTCGCGCCCCGCCAGTAAATCTCCAGCGCCTCGCGGTTATACCGCTTCCCCTCGCATATCTCGCACGGCACCGTAACATCCGGCAAAAACTGCATCTCGATATTGATATGCCCGTCCCCCGTGCAAGCCTCGCAGCGCCCGCCCTTAACATTGAACGAGAACCGCCCCGGCTTATACCCCCGCATCCGAGCCTCCGGCGCCGTCGAGAACAGCTCGCGTATCGGCGTGACGTATCCGTGTACGTCGCCGGATTGCTCCTCGGCGTCCGACCGATAGGCGACTGGTCGATGTCCACCACCTTGTCGATATGCTCCACCCCCTCGATGTCGCGCACCGCCCCCGCCCTGTCCCGCGCCCGGTAGAACTGCTGCGCCAGCTTCTTGTACAGAATCTCGTTGATAAGCGTGCTCTTCCCCGACCCCGACACTCCCGTCACGCACACCAGCATCCCCAGCGGAATCTCCACATCTATGTCCTTCAGGTTGTTCTGCGCCGCCCCCCTGATGACCAGCCGCTCGCCGTTCCCCGGACGCCGCTCCTCCGGCAGCGGAATCTGCCGTCGTCCGCTCAGATACTGCCCCGTAATGGACTCCGGCGCCGCCATGATGTCCTCCACCGGCCCCGTCGCCACGATATGCCCGCCATGCTCGCCCGCGCCCGGCCCAAGGTCCACGATGTAGTCCGCCGCCCGCATTATCGCCTCGTCATGCTCCACGATAAGCACCGTATTCCCCAGGTCCCGCAGCCCCTTCAGCGTCTGTATCAGCCGGTAGTCGTCCGCCGGATGCAGCCCAATCGACGGCTCGTCACACACATACAGCACCCCCATCAGCCCCGACCCTATCTGCGTCGCCAGCCGTATGCGCTGCGCCTCCCCGCCGCTCAGCGTCGATGCCGTCCGCGACAGCGTCAGGTAGTCCAGCCCGACATTCAGCAAAAAGGTCAGCCGCGCCTCGATCTCCTTCAGAATCTGCCCCGCAATCGCCTTCTCCCGATCGCTCAGCACACTCGGATGCTCAACCTTCACCCGCCCATTCCGCGACGCCTTCGACTTCCTCTTACGCCCCTTCGCACCCTTCACCATCCCATTCAATCCTTCTGCGGCTGCGGAAGGACTTCCATTCATCCCCTCTCCCTCTGGGAGAGGGCTAGGGTGAGGGCTCTGATAACTGATAACTGACGACTGAGAACTATCCCCCCCAATCGCCGCAATCCACGCGCTCGCCTGCGCGATAGACTTGTTCGTCACATCCATAATGTTGATGCCGCACACCGTAACTGCCCGCGCCTCCGGCCTCAGCTTCTCCCCCTTGCACGCGCTGCACGGGTTCGTCGACATATACCGCTCTATCTCCGAGCGCACATGGTCCGACTCCGTATCCTTTGTACCGCCGCTCCAGATTGTTGATAACCCCCTCGAACGCCGTCCGCCAGCGATACGTCTTGCCCCGCCGCGTGTGATGCTGCACATCGATACGCTTGCGCTTCGTCCCATACAGCACCCTGTCGAGGTCCTGCTTCTCCATATCCTTCACCGGCACATCCAGCGAAAAATCGAACGCCCGCGCCAGCGACTCAAGCTGGCTGTAATACCACGGACTCATCGCGCCCGACCGCGCCCACGGCTGCACCGCACCCTCCGCGATGCTCAGATTGCGGTTCGGAATTACAAGGCCCTCGTCAACCTCCAGCTTGTACCCCAGCCCCGTGCATGTCGAGCACGCCCCGTGCGGATTGTTGAAGCTGAAAGTGCGCGGCTCAAGCTCCCCCATGCTGATATTGCAGTGAACGCACGCGAACTGCTCAGAGAACAGCAGCTCCTCGCCGCCAACCACATCCACCAGCACCGTCCCGCTTGCCATCTTCAGCGCAGTCTCCACCGAGTCCGCCACCCGCGTCTGCTCCGCGCTCGTCCCGATCACCAGCCGGTCCACCACCACCTCAATGTCGTGCCACTTCTGCTTGTCCAGGTCGAACGACTCCGACAGGTCTTGCACCTCGCCGTTCACCCGTACCCGCACGACCCCGCCTTGCGCGCATCCTCGAAAATCTCCTTGTGCTCGCCCTTCCGCCGCCGCACCATCGGCGCCATAATCTGGATTCGGCTGCTCTCAGGCAGACCCAGCACCGCATCCACAATCTGCTGCACCGTCTGCCGCTCCACCGGACGCCCGCACTTGTAGCAGTGAGGATGCCCCGTCCGCGCGAACAGCAGCCGCAGGTAGTCGTAAATCTCCGTAACCGTCCCCACCGTCGAGCGCGGATTATGCGACACGCCCTTCTGATCTATGGAAATCGCAGGAGACAACCCCTCGATATAGTCCACATCCGGCTTATCCATCCGCCCCAGGAACTGCCGAGCATAAGAAGACAGCGACTCCACATACCGCCGCTGCCCCTCCGCATAAATCGTATCGAACGCCAGGGAACTCTTGCCCGACCCCGAAACACCCGTCATCACCACCAGCTTATTGCGCGGAATCGTAACGCTCACATCCTTCAGATTATGCTCCCGCGCCCCCTGAACAACGATATTCTCCAACGGCATACTTTGTCCTTTTTCTTCTTGAATCTCTAAACGCGACGGACGCAGCGAACGATAGGCGAGTCACTGCTGAACGATAGAACGGCGAATGCTAAAGTGCCGGCATGTCAATACCCGCAGCGTTCATTTTAGCATTGAGTTAGAGGCAAAGGCAGGTGTTTGGGGATGTTCTTGAATAAACGCACAAGAATACCTGTGTGTCCTACCAAGGCAAATCGTCTTGGTACCTGTCGGCATAAGCCAAATTACCGTCCAGCAAGAGGCGTATGTAGTAGTCATTGGGGAAACCAAGTGTCCGTAGATTGAGACTCAGCGGCTTAGTGGTTGAATAGTTCGGTAGATCCCACGAGTCTAATGGACGCAAGGTATGAGCGTCGATGATCACGCATTGTATGCGAAAGGGTCCCGGAGCCCAACTGTCGCGATTGAAGTAAAAGACGATTGACGAGGAATTCTTCTCAACTCGTTCAACAAACGTCCATTTCTTCTCAAACAGGTTTAATCCTGGAGCGACGCCAATTCGGGAACCCCACCTAAGGAGTGTTGGGCGGTGGTAGCCGGTGGAGCAGAGTTTCGTACTCTGCTTGACTTCTGCAGACAATCATGGCCAATGCGTTGAGATCAAGTCGTGTTGGAACAATAACCTCTGCATTCCTGTGAAATACTATGGAATCTCGTTCGTGGGGCTCAAAGCGTCCGTCATGATAAACAGATTCAAAAGGGATATATTCCAAATCTGACGCTTTGTCGAATACTCTGACGCGAACTCTAGCCAAATTGCCATCGCTGAAGAGGCTGTCAGATCGAGACAGGATAGCGAAGGAGTTAAATGCAAGGTATACAGGAACAGGACAGTGGGCATCTAGTGTTTGCTGCCCAGATGGTCTGATGCCCTCATTGCGATACTGAGTAGGCGTTCTTGGACGGAAATAAAGCCGAGCATAATTTAGCCAATGCTCATTGGTTTGTGCGATCACTTCGTGACTTGCGTTATCCGTGCCCATCAACCCAAGTTTCTGAGCTTCGACGCTACTGAGCAACGCACCAGTCTTCAGTATGGACACTGCATTTTGGATGTCCGTGAAATGAAACAGATAATCTGGCCACCAATGCCTAGCAGTCCCCAGCCATTCCGCTCCCTTCAGGTCAGTCAAGAACTGGGTGATTCTTCTGGCATCAGATTTCTGTCTGAGAGTCATACAAGTTGTAACTGCCTAGCCTCTGATTCAATTGAAACTGTATCGTTCGCCTTAGGCGACGGCTCCAAAAATAATAACCCAGATGCATTGCCATGCAATTCAGTATCACTTTCGGCTTGGCCTATCAGTCTGAAGTATGACAATTCTGCAAGCAACGGGATTATGTACGCAGAGTGAAAGTCGAGGCCGCTAGGCATTATCTGAGGTATGCAGATCCCCAAGTCCCTAACTTGCTGCCACAAGTCTAGCAACTGTTCCTTGTTGAAGCGTACGGGATTCTCCGCATCAACTATCTCTATGCCGCCGCCCTCCGTGTCATCGAAAACAACAGCTTCAAATGTCTCGTTCTCGTCCGGTGTAGCGAACTGCTTTTTTGATTTGACAATGCCAACCAGATCGTCCCAAACCTCAGTGAAGGCGAGCGATCCGGGTTGTTCTCTGAGCCACTCTTTCGTAGCTTTCGGAACTTTATGTTCAGGCTTGAATCCGGCGCAGAATAGGCTACGTGTATGAAAATCTCTATCGGAAGCCCCTTCAGATACTTTTCCATTAGCGGCTTCGACTCAGTCTTCCAGTCCAATTCGCCATTACCACATCCAAGTTGCGGGAACGAGATAGATGTAATCCTGGCTTCCTGATAGACCTGAGAGAATTTCTTCAGTCCCGCCTCAAGGTAGTCCGGTTTTGAAGGACTCCGCCAGTGCTTCTTCGTGGGGAAGTTCAACACCCATTTATGAGGCGTCTTATAGACCCACAAATCACCTACATTGAGCCTGCCACTTTCGCACAACTGCTGGTATTCAGTGAACATCTCCGGATAGATGCTCTTGAATTCCTTGGCAATGCCCTTGCCCATCACGCCGACGGTATTGACCGTGTTCACTAACACCTTTGCAGGACTATCGAACAGGCTGAAATCTACATAAGTAATCATCGTGCATTCCCCGGCTATGAACAGTTATGCCGAATGTGTGATGCGATTGAAGATCGCCCTCTTTTAACGGTTCAAACACTCTAGACTTCGAGCCGTATGAGACACCCCGCTGCGAGTGAGTGGGCACCACGTCGGCGTTCAATTTAATTGAGCGCCTCCCAAAATTGCTAGGCTGTGGAATTACACTTTGACCGTCTTCCAACAGACCATCATTTTGCGCACAGTGTAGCACATCATAAAATGCCGTCCGTCCGGCGCTTCGATGCAATAATCCCTCTTGACAATTCAAACTGTTGTGCTTATTATAGTGCATATGCTCAGAACATACAACCTAAGTCATTTGCCTTACGGCAGGCCCAAGGCACTAACTGACAACTCAAGACTGATGGCTGAAAACTAACGCTTATGTGCAACTCAGCAGACATACAACACAAGATTCACAGCTTCACCAAAGACGGTGAAGACATCGCACGCTTCCTCACGGAAACCATGCGCGGCGAGACTCCGGGCGTCAAAGTCTGCCATCGAATGGAAGCCACAAAGCACCTGATCCGCTACGGCTTCCCCGACGAAGCACGGCAACAGGACCAGTTTGACATGAACGATTCGAAGGTCGAGAACACCGACAAGGAAACCCCTTCCCACTCGACGGGGGAAGGCTGGGATGGGGGTGACGATTCCCCTCCATCCGCGTCAGTTTCCGTAACCTACCTCGACATCCTCAACTACCAGATAGCCCACCTCATACGCCACGAGACCGCCGAAGGCCACACCCTCGTAGAGTCTCAGTTCACATCATGACCGGCAGAGGACAGGCCTTCACCCAAGAAGTTCCGCATCAAGCCCGCAGACGCATGGCAGCCGCAGAGAGAACTCCTGCGTCGCGGCTTCGGAGACCTCGGCTCACGCCGCAAGCCCTCAGACAGCACCGACGAGCAAACGCCTACGACACCCTGCACTCAGGCCCTCGCCAGGCGAGATGCGCGAAGTACAGCGAGCGCGGCACCGACACCGTCCGCTTCCTGCTAGAAGTATGTCATGACCCCGACCCTGACCTAGAGTTCACCATCCACCACCGTATGTCCGCGCACAAGACCTCTCTGCGCCGAGGCTGGGACACCACTACGACAACATCAAGCCCAAGCACCTTCAAGCCTACTGGCAGGACAAGGAATCCCGCGCGTCTCTCCATAGGCCAGAAGAAAGACCCAGGCCGGTCCTCTCACACCTCCATCGACGACTACGACAACTACGACGACACAGACTACGAAGCCATCGCCAAAGAGATCAGAGAAGAAGAAGACCGAGACGACAACTCAAGCCTCTTCGTTTCCACGAGGCCGCGTCCCATCTTCTCGCCATTCCTCCGAAAGCAGGATCAGAAGACCTCCAAGCCGCCAGTCCTGCCACAAAGCTCCCTCTCCCTCAGGGAGCGAGCTGCGTGCAGGCACTAAAATCCCTTCCCCCTCGACGGGGGAAGGCTAGGATGGGGGTGACGGAGCCGGTGTCCAAGAGCCTACCCCAGACTGAATCAGTGAACGTACCCGCCGCAGACCGCAAAGCCATCATCAAAGAGTTCAAGGAAGCCATGGACAGGGCGACGAGCGGGCAGCCCTCCGCGCAGAGGCAAAATACCGCCGCATAGACGTAAAACCAGAAAAGAACATCTACGACTACGGCCCCAACGACCCCGACCCAACCATCGACTACTACTTCGAACCCTAAACCCCGAACAACAGACAAAGTTCGACCAAGAAGACAGACGCGAACACGGCCTAACCGAAGAAGAGATCGCAGATTTCTCAGGCATGCCCGACCCGCGCAGGCAAATCAGACCCGCTAGTGCAGCTCGCCCAAACCGCCGCCACCCACAACACACCCATCCTCCCCAACCCGCTCGCCACCAAGCGCAAAAACCCCACCATCCGCAGCCCCTAAAGTCCTCTCTCTGGAAGACTTCTGGCATGAGGGCAAGGATAAAGTCCCTTCCCCCTTGACGGGCGGAGGTTAGGGTGAAGGCATATCCTCCCATCCTGCGCATCGATGTTAGCCCCGGTCTGACACCTGTCCGCTGACGGCTGAACGCTGATTGCCGACCGCTGCCACCCGATCGCAAGAACCTATACTACTACCGGTATCCTCGTCCCCGGCGTCGTCATCTGCAGGCTGTATATCGAAGTGTTCGATGTGAAGTACATCGTGCGGTTTTCCTCGCCGCCCCAGCCGCAGTTCGCCGGATACTCCGGCAGCTCTATCACGCCTATCAACTCGCCGCTCGATTCAAACACCCAGCACCCGCCGGGACCCGTGCAATACACGCGCCCCTCCACATCCACCTTCATCCCGTCCGGTACGCCATTGTTCGCATGCTCCGACGGCATATCCGCGAAGTGCCGCATGCCCACCACATCGCCGTCCGCATTCAGCTCGTATGCCATGATGTACTGCCCCGGCCGCGTATTCGCCACATAAAGCACGCTCTCATACGGCGAGAACGCGATCCCGTTCGGGTACTCGAACGGCACCACCAGCTCCACCTCGCCGTTCGGCCTGATGCGATGCACGCTGTTGAACTGCAAGTCCACATCGGCAGGCTCAAGTCGGTCGCGCCCCGGGGTTCGTGAAGAACAGGCTGCCGTCCGACTTGAGCACCACATCGTTCGGAGCGGTTCAGGCCGCTTCCCCTCCGAGCTGTCCGCGATGACCGTGTACGACCGTCCTCCTCCATCCGCGTCAGACGCCGGTTTCACCATCTCGCATATCACCACGCGCCCCTGCGAATCGAAGGTCATGCCGTTGGAGTCCCCGCTGTCCCCCCGAATAGCTCAGGCTCTTCCCCCGGCACCAGCTTGAATATCTGCGCCCGCCGTATGTCCACGAACAGCAGGTACCCGTCAGGATGCCACAGCGGCCCCTCCGTAAATACGAACCCCGTAGCCAGCCGCTCCGCCTCCGCCGATTCAACGATTTCAGAAAGTCTGTCAGACATATCAGCCCCTTATCATTTTCATCCCGTACATCGGTTAGACCCGCGTGTACTTCACTATGCGCCGCCCCGTGCTGCCCTCGCCCGATGTCGCTGCACGAAGTAGATATTCCCCTCAGAGTCGCCTGCCGCGCCGTGGCAGCTTCGGTACTTCTCGTCGCCCCAGCGCGCCAGCAGTTCGCCGTCTCCGCTCAGCACACTGAAGTACCCGCCGTTGTGCTCGGCTACATAGCAGTCCCCCTCCGTATCCTCCCACACCACCGCAGGCCCGATCAGCTTCGTCGGCCACTCCGCCAGGAACTTGCCCTCCTGGTGAACACCTGCACTCGGTCATTCTTCGCGGTCCGCGATGAGCAGCCGCCCGTCCGCCGTGATGCAAGCGCCATGCGGCAACATGAACTCACCCGGCCCTCTGCCCGGCTCGCCCCACGACCTCGTCGCAGCGCCCCCTCCGCCGAGAACCGATGCACCCGCGCGTTCGCGTAACCGTCCGCCACATAGATGTCCCCCGACGGTGCCACAGCGATGCCCGCCGGCATATTGAACGGCTCGTCCCCCATGCGTAACCTGCATATGGCCGCTCGAACCGAAATCGTTCGGGTCCGCGCCCGTATCCGAGCGAACTCCCTTCTCCCCGATGGTCATCAGCAGTTCGCCCTGCGGTGTGTATTTCAGTACCTGCTGGTCGTTGCGGTCCACAATCCAGATGTTGTCATGCGCGTCCGCATAAATCGCATGCGGGAACCGAGAACCCCGTCTCGCCCCAGTCATACAGGTAGCCGCCGTCCTTGTCGAACACGATGACCCCGTGCTCGCCCCTGTTGAACGCATACACCCTGTCCTGCGAGTCCACCGTCACCGCGCCATCGGCGCATTCCAACCCTCCGGCACCTGCGCCGCAGTCTTCGTTCACCTCATAGGTATGCCTGCCGTTTCCAACTGTGTTTGCCACAACTGTTCTCCTTTGTCTAATACTCGCTACGCCAACCCGATCTTAGGCCAGTATCGTCCATAGATGCTGGAAATGAAAAGTAAAATTATCGTTTGTCACTCCATACTAGGAAAGGTTTGAGCCTGCCCATGCGAAAGCAGGAGATGCGGGTAAATACCAACGATTATGAAGAATGCGGCAAGCCTATTGGGTAGACAGATATAGCCTGTTTATGGGCAGGTCGCTCACTGCCTGACCAGAAAATTGCGAGTAGCGCGATGGGTTTTTCACTTTTCCTGAGTTGTCGCGGTATAGTCTCCCGATGCCGGCTCATCTTTGAGGATAGCGGCGCGAACAATCGTCCAATCCAGTGAACTTTGCTTGACCAGCGCCTCCTGAGTCTCGTGGTCAGAGTAAATATTCCGCAGCATCGTCTTGAACATAATACGAGCCAACCACGGGGTTTGCTCCCAACTCTCTCCCACTCCGGCAGCGGACAAAACCACGAGGCGCCGTACATTGTGTCGGGTCATACCGTCCACCACATTTCTTGTGCCGTCCGTAAGTGTCGTCTTGTCGCCTAACCCATTGCTGCCCAGAACCACGATTGCTGCGTCTTGATTGGTGACCGCCGCCGCTACCAATTCGGCATCGTTGACATCGCCTTGAAAAGCACGCAGATTCAGGTTGCCGCAGTCAATCTTGTTGACCGAGCGCGTAAATGCCGTGACCGCCTGCCCTTCTTCCAACGCCCGCCGACACACATGCTGTCCCGTTTTCCCCGTGGCGCCAAAAATGACAGTCCTAATTGCCGATATTCCTTTCCCCATCGATAATACCCTTTTTGCTCAATGGTTTTCAGCCTGCCTGCAAGCCTCCATCACTGCCCGCACGGAATCGATTTCAGGACGCGCAGCCACCACGCGCACAACGGCTACGTCCAGCCCCTCCGCGAGTCGCTTGAACTCCGCCGCCGCGCCTTCCGCATTACCGTAGTAGCCCACCGTGCGCAGCAGTTCAGGCGAGAACGCATCCGCCACTTCATCTGCGCCTGCGCCGCGTCGCCGCATGTCATCCAACCCTGCAAGTTCCTCAGTGAAGCCCATACGCTCGAAGTGAGCGCGATAGCCAAGTTGACGCTCCCGTTCCGTAGGAATCGTCGCACCCAGAGCATAATTCATCGTCGCCTTGGCGAACGCCCGCCGCGCCACATCTTCATCGTCGTCAACGCACACCCGGATATACTCCGCGAGCTTGATTTCAGAAGGATCGCGCCCTGCCTTCTCTGCACCCTCATTCACGCGCTCGCGGCTCCACGCTATCTGCTCGGACTGCACCAGTTCAGCACGCCCCGTCCGCAAGCTCACCGCAAGCCGCAGCATCTGCGGTCCCAGGGAGCCAAGATACACGGGCGTTCTGGGGGTGGATCTATTGCGAGGCGCGCCCCCGCGCAGCGTAACCACATCTCCTTGGTAATCCACGCTCTCGCCGGCGACAAGCGGTCGAATCGTGGCGAGGTAATCGCGCATCAGCGCCAGTGTGGACAGGTTAGGCAGTCCGAGTGCCTGCCGAGCGCGAGGACGATACGAGCCGCCGGAGCCGATGCCCATGATGAACTTGCCGCCTCTTATGTCGCTCACCGTGCCGCCCCGTCATCGCAAACGCCATCGCGTGCGGTACATCACCGGCGACACCGATATGCCCGTCGTAACTCCGCCGTCCACCACATCGCAGCTAGCCTCCCAGCGACGCAGGCAAGCTGATATGAGTCTTGGCCGGTGCCCTCGGGCGTCCAGATGCTGGTGTATCCTTGCTGCGCCGCCTCTCGCGCAAGAACCGACTGGTCGGTCCACGACAAGTTGAGCGTCGCATCTAACCCAACGCCGATTTCCATTGTTCTCTTCCTTTCCTCTGACTGACATGCCTAGCGACCGGTCGCTATTGACGCTCCGGTGAGCGTCTAGTAGACATAAGATTATCGCTTGGTAGTATAACGGCAACAATATCACACCCATAAACCAGGAGAGGAGAGACATCGATGGCAGACGTAGCGTTAGTGACCACAGCAATTGCCGGTCTCGTAGTTTCGGTAGGAGCTTTGCTCGTATCCATAGGCGTACTTTACCTTGTGATGCGGATAGGCACGCGATAGACAATCTTACCTCTGGTTCATATTAACAGATAGACGCCTGATAGACATACGGGGACGCAATTGAGCGTCCCGCTATAGTTAATAGCCGAAATCCGGCCGGTTTAGCCTCTCGAAGGAACGCTACGGTCGCCGCTCCCGGCGTAGTCTTCTTCTCCCTTCGTGGTCTTCGAGCCAGATTGTTCGCAATCGACCAGGGTTCTCGCCGTTCTCGGTGTACTTCTTTGTGACGACACCCTTGCCGAGCATCGGCGTTCCCGGCACATCCATCCCCCGATACTGCGTCGTCAGTGACTTCAGCATGCCCTCTGCCCCAATCCAGTCGGTCATGACCTGCCCCAGCCACGCACCCTTCAGCGCGCACGTCAGTATGACATCCGCAGCCCGTTGCCCTTTGCGTAGTTTCAGGTCGTAGTGAATCTGATATAGTCCCCCGACGCTCCCTGCATACTTCACAAGTTGCTGCGTCGTCGGGTCCTTCGCAGTGTAGGAAACCTCCGTCCCTTCCTGAACATCCTCAAAATATACCTGATTGCCCATTATTATGCTCCTTGCAGACAATTTCATTCTATGACCGGGATACCTGACTTACTGACCACCAATCACCGACAGATCCCTACGGATCGTAGCTGATGCCAGTGGTGCGCTGAAGCGCGACGGTTTGCCCGAACTGGTTCGCATACTTAGTTTCTCGCACGCTGAACAGCAGTATTGCCCAGTGTGCCCGACGCTCGAACAAGTCTGCGAGCATAGTCGTGACCGTAATGCGGTCGCCGGGGACGCACGGGATGGAAGTACTCCACTGACTGCCGCCATCGAGATGGCGGAGTATGGACTCTTGTAAGCGAGGGGCATTGAGATGAGCGAGCGCATGATGAAGTCGGCGGTGCGATTATGCCACCGTACCGCGTCGACGCGCCACCCCTCGTCGTGAATAGCGGGTTCGGTGTCTCCGATAGCCTGTGCGAACTTAATGATTGCGCCCTTCTCCAACCTCATGCGTGATTGCTTCAGACTCCACGCCGATGGCCATCGCGCATCTGCTGTGATATGACGACTCCTGTGTCATGCAACATACTCCTGAAAGGTGTCTGTGATTGGCAAAAGTGTAAGTCGCACACCCGTCTAAGTGTCAAGGAACAGCTAGACACACACCCAGTCGGGCAGATTAACAGGAGGATGCAGTTGTGGTATACTGACACACTAGCTAACTGACGACTCACTACTTGCTACTATTCAATGACAAGGAGATACACCATGACTTCAAATGGCAAAGTCGCCATCGTTACCGGCGGAGGTTCAGGCAAGGAAGGCATAGCGCGCTCGCATACTGCGCGAGGGCTACTCGGTCGCCATCGGCGGCAGCGTATATCTGCGCTTGAAGAGACCATCGCCGAAGCAGGCGACTGGAGCGACGCATGCTTGCCGTCGTCACCGATGTAACTGACGCTGAATCCATCCGCAACCTGTTCGCGCAGACCAAAGAGAGGTCGGCAGGCTCGATGTGCTGTTCAACAACGCCGGCATCGGCTCGCCGCGCATGGCCAATGGAGGACATTCCACTGGAAGCCTGGCAGGCGGTCGTGAACACCAACCTCACGGCACCTTCGTCTGTACCCAGGAAGCCATCAAGATTATGAAGAGCCAGGACCCGATGGGCGGGCGCATCTCAACAACGGGTCAATCTCCGCATACACACCCCGTCCCGATCGGTCGCATACACCGCCACCAAGCACTCGATTACGGGCCTGACCAAGTCAACATCGCTCGACGGCGCCAAGTACAACATCGCCTGCGGGCAGATTGACATCGGGCAACGCCGCAACACCCATGACCGCGCGAATGAGCGGGCGGAGTTCGCAGGCGAGCGACTTACCATCGAAGACGCCGACGTACGATGTCAACACGCCGCGGACAGACCTGTAGTCTTCATGGCTAACCCCTTAACTTGCCTCTCGGCACAAGTGTGCAGTCAGTTCATCACCATCATGGCGACCAAGATGCCCTACGCCGGGACGTGGATAACAGGACTTATTGGACGCTTTGTCAGTGCGCGTGCAGCAGGTGTTGATCATCCAATTCGTTTCCTGCGAAAGCAGGACATCCACACGGTGATGAGATTTGCCATGTTCATCACCCACGATGTGACAACACTGACAGATTAAAAAGGACTTGCCATAGTCAGGAGCAATTCCTCGTGGCCTCCGCCAGTTCCTGCGATGCAGTGCGCGTAGCCCGTGCACTTGCGACAGCAGCACACTGCCAATGTAAGCGCGCCCACGATGACATACGTGGACGTATCAATAATGATGTCCATGTTCCAGTCGAGTGTGGACATCTGCCCTACGAGGTATGCCTCGATTGCGTAGCCCAGAACGAACCCAAGTATGATGCCCACTACACCGGTTATCAGGCTTTCGACAGTAATGAGCATATTCACTTGCCGCTTGCTGAACCCGAGAGTTCGCATCGTGGCAAGTTCGCGGCTACGCTCGGTTACATTGAGAGTAACCGTGTTGAAGACAGCGAAAGCGGCAAGAGACATGCCGAATATGGTCATTATGCCGATGAACTGGTTGGTCAAAGCCATGAGTTCTTCGATACCCTCTCGCACATCCGCGCTTCGCTCCACCGAGAGCACATAGGCTCTCATCTCCAGCATCTGCGTTACTTCTGAGGCGTAGTCCGGATGTTCAAGGGTTATCAGGGCGGCAGTAGCGTGAAAGCCTCGCATAAGAATTGCGGCTTGTGGCAGCCTCATATACGCGGACTCGCCCATCGGGAATCGCACAAGCCCCGCCACGGGAAACGCCTGATCCTGACGCTCGGATCCACCTCATCGTATCCCTACCTCCAGTCAGGTCTCTGCGCAGCGTCTCCGTCAGGAATATGCCGTCGTGCTCAGTGGCTGCGCACCCGCTACATATTCCGGCCTCAGTCAGCGTCGCATCGCCCACTAAACGGCTCGGTAACGACCGAGTGCTCGCGAACATTCGCAGTATCAGCTTCACGGGTATTTCGGCGATGGGTTCCGCCTTGCGAACCTGGGGCCACGACTGGAATACATCCGTCTTTCTATAATCAATGTCGTGAGTGAACAGCGCCTTGAGGTCGTGCTGCTGTATCTCGTTGAACTGCACGTCGAACGCATTATCCATTGTGTCCAGCATCCCCATCACCGCCGTGACCAGAGCAACCGAAACGGCGATGCCCATGATCGAAGAAAGTGTCCGCCAGCGTCCGCGTGTCATGTTGCGCAGCGCCAGCCTCAGCATGCCGGGCAGGCGCTGCATGGGCACAAACCTTTCCAGCATCATCGACACTCCGCCGGACGCTACGTTTGTCCGCATGGCTTCAGACGGAGTGAGTTGCGCGGCTGCAAGCGCGGGCTGAATGCCCGCTATGACACACGCTGCCAGGCCAATCGCGAAGGCGACGACCAGCACCCAAGTCTGACTGACGACCACTGTGAAAGGTAGGTCCAGTGTTTCGACATAGAGGCTGGTGAATCCGCCAGCCGCAAATGTCCCCCACAGTATCCCCAGCCCGTTGCCGATGAGCGCTATCAGGATGGGAAAGGTCAGGTAGTGGCGAAGTATTTGGATACGGGAGAATCCCTCGGCGCGCATCAATCCTATGATATGCCTTTGGCTCTGCACTATGCGCGTGAGCATCGCGAACGCCACCATCGCGGTTATGCACAGGAAGAGCACTGGCATAGCAATCGCCATCTCCTCGAAGCCGTCTATGTCCGACTTCAGGGTGGCGTAGCTCAGCTGCTCCTCCTTCTCGATGAGATGGTGAGTGCCGAATCTCTCCAGGTAGCCGTCTATCTCCGCCTTGACGGCATCGGTATCCCCGTCAGGCTTGAATCGAACCGTAATCTCATTTATCAGGCCCTCCACGCCGAGCATGTCGTCAACCACGTTCCTGCGAACCATCACGATGGCGAAGTCTCCCGGCGAAGTGATCAGTTCGGCGCCCCCCTTGGACTTCCACAGGTATTCGGGGCTTGTAATTGCGCCGCTGATCTGGAAGTCCCTGTCTCTTCCCTGATAGACCAGAGAAACGGTATCGCCGGGTTTCAAGTCGTAGTAGGTTGTGAACAGGTTGTCCACGAGCGCATGCCGCCCGTCAGACGCTTCGAGGTATTCTCCCTCTCTCACGATGACGCGGTTGATATCCGGCGTCTCCTCGTCGGGAATGCTGATGACCCTAGCGGATAGCGTTTCATCAGGGTCGTCCGGCTGGCGCATGGCTATGTCCGCGACATACCTGCCCTCCGCCGCAACCACGCCATCAATATCAAGGATGCGATCCACAGCCCTAGCAGGTATAGGTGGGGCTACGATGTAGAAGCCATCGGCGAAGTTCAGGTGCTCGTATGCGAAGTCCTCGGAACTTTTCACATTCAGGAATGCCGAGTACATGGTGACGAATATGCCCACGCCCAGTGTTAGCAGGGCAATGATGGAGATGAAGAGGGCACGCGATCGCCATAGGTCGCGGAATGCCTTTCTTAGCAGTGGGTTCACGGCTACCACTCAAGGTCTTCGGGGTGAATCGGATTTTCCACCGCTCTATCCTCGACTATCTCTCCGCTGCGCATTCTTATAACGCGGTCGGCCATACGGCTTATCGCCACGTTGTGAGTCACCAGGAGGATCGTGGCGTTCTCAGATCGATTGATGCGCCTCATCAGGCCCAGAATCATCTTGCCCGTCTCATAGTCGAGATCGCCCGTTGGTTCATCCCCAAGCAGGATCGAGGACCCTTCGCCAATGCCCTGGCGATGGCTACGCGCTGCTGCTCGCCGCCCGAGAGCTGCGCAGGAAAGTGGCCTATACGGTCGCCAAGACCGACAGAGCGGAGTGCGGGTATGGCGTTGCGCTTGTTTCCCGTCAGTTCTGCGACCATCTCCACATTCTCTCCGGCGGTGAGCGAAGGGACGAGGTTGAAGAACTGAAAAATAAACCCCACTTGCTTGCGCCTGTACATGGGTCAGTGAGGCTTCATTCATGTCTGTGATCTCGCTGCCGCCCACCCAAATCTGTCCACGAGTTGGGACGTCCAGCCCGCCAATCATATTCAGAAGGGTTGTCTTGCCCGAGCCGCTGGGTCCCAGTAGCACCACGAACTGACCTTCCTGAATGTCGAGGCTGACATCCCTTGAGAGCATAGACAATCGCATCGCCCACCTCGTATTGCTTCGTCACACCTTCGAGTCGGGCGATTACTCCATCCTGTCTATCCATGTCAGCCCCTGTCAGCGCCTTCGTCTTGCAAGCCGCCTGAGCCGTCGCTTGACCGTTGACCGCCCTCGCAGGTTGTCGGCTACATAGCGCGCCACATCCGGGCTGCCCAGCAACAGTGGCGCCCGCCACTCGCGCAACTCCTTCATCGTCGTGCTGCCGCTGCTCCATGACGGCACGAACGACTCCAGCGACTGCCATCCCATCCCTGTGGGCAATGTTCCCAGCAGCTTCTTTCGACCACCTTTCAGAACGATCCCACCGGCTTCCTTCACCAGCAGCGAGCCACCCGCAGCGTCCCAAAGGAACGGCGCGGTCGTAATCGTGTACTGCGTAACACCCTTCGCCACCATCGCAAGCTCGTAAGCGATACTGCCCGTCATACGCAGTTCCCCAAATTTGCCACGCAAACCCTTTCGCACCTTGAACAGTGCACCGAATCCACCCGGCAGTGTAATCAGCCTGTTGCCTTCAGGCGCCTCTGCCGTCAGCGCAACGACAGGGACGCCATCAACCTGCGTACCGCCTCCTCTGTGTGCATGCATCACGATGCCGCCGTTGTAGTTGGGCCACGGCAGGAATACCGCCGACACGACAGGAGCGCCCTGGTAAAGCACGCCAATGGAACTTGCATACAGCGGTAGCCCCGAAAGAAAGTTCCGCGTTCCATCCAGCGGGTCCAGCACCCAGACGAAGTCGGGCGCTGGCTGCTTATCCGCACTTGCGCGCTCTTCGGCATTGTCTTCTTCGCCCAGTATGCCGTGCTCGGGGAAGCGCTTGGCGATTGCCTTTTGCAAATATCTCTGGCATTCGTAGTCCGCGTTGGTAACCGGATCGCTCTGCTTGTCGTCCTTGTATTCGACATTCAGCGCGTGTTCAAAATGTCCACGCAGAATATCGCCTGCTCCTCGCGCAATCTTCACCGCATGCGCCTCAATCTCACGCAGTGTGTCATCGTCGTCCGGCGCCACACCGTTCTGCCTGCCGCCTACGACCGATTTCAAGCCTTAAGGACGTTTCGCATTAAACCTTGCGCTCTCTTTCTGTCAGCAACTCTTTGAAACTCCCCTATAATAGCATTACAATGCGGTCGAAGATTGCAGATTCTGTGCATTACTCCATTCGTTTCATCCATAGCCGACAGGGAGCTTGCCCAAATGACGACTAACCGAGAAGGCTTCGAGATTTACGACGACCGCTTCGCCGCGATGATTCCGGACGATACACAACTGGTCAGACACTTCACGGGCATGGAGTGGGCAGAAGGTCCGGTCTATATCTCGGAAGGCGACTACTTGCTATGGAGCGACATTCCCAACGACCGCATGCTCCGCTACTCGGACGCTGATGGTGTTTCCGTCTTCCGCCAGCCCGCAGGCTTCACCAACGGCCACTACCGCGACCGCGAAGGACGATTGGTGAGCTGCGAGCACGGGAATCGCCGCATCAGCCGCACCGAGCACGACGGCACGGTAATAACGCTCGCCGACAACTACGAGGGCAACAGGCTGAACTCTCCCAACGACCTTGTGGTGAAGTCTGACGGCACAATCTGGTTCACCGATCCACCATACGGCATCCTCAGTGACCGCGAGGGACACAAGGCGGACAGCGAATTAGCGGGCTGCTTCGTATTTCGCCTTGAGCCGGACACGGGCGCGCTCGAAGTGGTCGTGGATACGATGGACAGGCCCAACGGCATCGCCTTCTCTCCCGATGAGAGCATTCTCTATGTGGCGGACACCGGCGAACCCGGCAACATCATGGCGTTCGATGTAGAAGACGGCAGGGAGCTCACAAATGAGCGCGAGTTCGCGGTCGTCAGTCCGGGCAAGTCCGACGGCTTCCGCTGCGACACTGATGGCAACATCTTCACAAGCTCGGCGGACGGCATCCATGTGTACAGCCCGGCGGCTGAGTTGCTCGGCAAGATACTCGTGCCTGAAGACCGCAACGCCAACTGCTGCTTCGGCGGCCCCGACAAGAACCGCCTCTACGTCTGCGCCGACAAGTCTCTCTACTCCATCGTCCTGAACGCCAGAGGAGCGCAGACGCCATAGCCTTCTGGCAGCGCATGGATATGCAGAGTAGCAAGTGGAGGCACTTCACCTTCACCTTCATGAAAGCCATGAAAGCGATTCGCCGCTTGCCTTTGAGGTTCCTGCTACTTGCATGCATCCTCCTGCATCCTCATTGTGGCATCGGCTATCGCAGCAAGGCAGTCTAATATGCTGGACAGGCAGCTTATATTCTTCCCTTCAAGGGAGATAACCCAGACTCCGGCAGATGTGGGACTGCACTTTGAGGATGTGTCGTTCTCCACGTCGGACGGCACACGGCTGCACGGTTGGTTAGTGCCTGGTCAAGGCGACAACACGCTGGTCTGGTTTCACGGCAACGCGGGCAACATAAGCAACCGCGTGGACAATATACTGCTGCTCAACCGGCGTCTCGGCGTGAATGTGTTCATATTCGACTATCGGGGATACGGACGCAGCGAGGTAAGCCGTCCGAGCAAGGCATATACGTGGACGGGGATGCCGCGCTGGAGTATCTGCGCTCGCGCGACGATGTTGACATGGAGAAGCTGATACTGTTCGGGCGTTCGCTGGGCTGCGCTGTTGCGGTCGAGCTGGCGACCCGCCACACTGCCAAAGCCGTTTTACTTGAGTCACCGTTCACATCGGTTGCGGACATGTCGCGCCGCACACACCCTTTGCTTTCACTATTGCTGCCGCCCCGTCTGCTTGTGCAGAGCAGGTTTGACTCACTCTCCAAAATGGGACGCATCGAAAGCCCTGTGATGGTGTTGCATGGCGACAGAGACGACATAGTTCCAATTGAGATGGGGAAGGAACTGTTCGATGCCGCCAACGAGCCAAAACGCTTCTACGCGATTCAGGGCGCGGGCCACAACGATACGCATCTCGTAGGTGGCGAGCGATACTTCGCCGCGCTGCGAGAGTTTATAGAAGGCTGAATACCATCCTCTTTATGCTGACCATGAATACTACCTGCAGTTCGTTCGTGGTGAGATTGCCGAACCACCATGTACGAAAGCACTGCTTCCTCGCTGAAAATCGAAAACTTGCTACAATGAAGCAGCCATACCACCTGAACGGAGAACAAACTTGCTTATACTGAAAGCCAGACGAACTATACGCAACCGGATCGCAGTCGTGGAACTATTCGGCTCTATTGGAGGGCAGATAAAGTCCCCCGTCTATGAGCCGATATTCGCGTCCATCGCGCGGGACGACAACATACGCGCCCTCGTGCTGGACATCGACTCGCCGGGCGGCGGTGTGTCCGCGTCCGACTACCTCTACCGCAGCGTGCTGAAGGTCGCTGAGAAGAAGCCGGTCATCGCCAGCATTCGTGGTCTGGGCGCGTCCGGCGCGTACTACATCAGCTGCGCCGCCCACAAGATAGTCGCCAGCCATGCCTCTATCGTCGGCTCCATCGGCGTCATATCCGTGCGCCCCGCATTGCAGGAGCTTATGCAGCGTCTGGGTGTCGGCGTCAATGTTAACAAGAGCGGCCTGCTCAAGGACATGGGAGCCTTCTGGCGCGATGCAACGCCCGAAGAGGAAACGAAGATGCAGGCGCTCATCGACGACTCATTCAACACCTTCGTCAGCATAGTCGCGGAGTCGCGCAAGATGGATGAGGAGGATGTGCGGCGCATCGCCACGGGCGAGGTCTATTGGGCGACTAAGGCGCACGAACTCGGGCTGGTGGATGAGCTGGGCGACCTCGACAGGGCGCTCGACATCGCCGCCGAGACTTCGGGCGCACCGCGCAGGCCCGTGTATTTCCGCCCACGCCGCAGCTTACGCCAACTGCTGATGAACCCCGCCGCAGAAGCCCTAACTGAGTCCATCAGCAACGAGGTGGAGCGCCGCCTTTGGTCAGGCTGGCTTCGGTAAATTGACCCAAAAGCCGAGACAAAAGGGATAAAAGGGCCTTTATTTACTTCCCATCTGAAATTTCGTCTGAATTTTGGTCAAATTAATCCTGTGCAGTGTTCTAAACCTTTGCTAGAATCTTATTCACCTGATTTGCATAGCGTCAGGCTCAAGCAGTAGCTGAACCATCAGATTGGAGGTATCAAGTAAACATAGGTGAATAAGAATAGGTCTGGCGCGTTTCGCAAACCTGAAAGCTACTCTTTATCTACGGACCTTACTTCTAATCAGCCCACGGACAACACCGCACAGCCGGTCAAGACACTCGTACCAGAGGACATCACTACGCCCGAAGTGAGTCTGCAACCTACTGCAGAGCAGCAGAATGTTGCGGCAGTTCACCCTGTGGGCGATATCATCGTCGCGCCGGCGGACGCTGTTTCAGTGCCCGTCAAACCTAGACGGCGTGTGCGTCCCCACATCCGTAAGCCCCAAATGCCTCGCGTGAACACCACTCGCATATCGGTGCGCGTACCGCGCGTTCGCCCTATGCGGGTCCACACATTCGACTCGTTCCAGCATCGCAACTACCGCTTCCTCTGGGCATCCACGCTCTTCTTCAGCGGGGCGTTCTGGATGCAGCAGGTCATCATTGGCTGGCTGACCTACGAGTTGACGCAGTCCGCGCTGCTGACAAGCCTTGTGATGGGCTTGGACGCCCTGCCTATCCTGATAGCGGGACCGCTCGGCGGCCTGCTGGTGGACAGGTGGGACAAGCGCAAGCTGCTGACGGGCGTGTTCGCGTATCAGTCCGTGCTCGCTCTGGGGTTCGCCTTACTGGTGCTGCTTGGCACCGTGAACACGTGGCATGTGTTCGGCTTCGTGTTCCTGATGGGCATTGGATGGGTGATAGCGGACCCGGCACGCATGTCGCTCATTCCGGCGATAGTGCCGCGCCACAGTCTGGTGAATGCGTTTGCCCTGAACTCGCTGGCGTTCAGCATTACTCGCCTTGCGATTCCCGCTGTTGGCGGCGCACTGCTTGCGTTTGCGGGCGCGGGCGTCGCGTTGCTGCTGCAGGGAGCCCTTGTCGCCCTTGCCTCGGCACTGGCACTGGGGCTTGGCACCTTTGCAACTGCCGGGCAGTGCAAGCTCAACCCGCGCGTTGTCCTGTCGGAAATCCTGGAGGCCGTGCGCTACATCAGGGAAACGCCGGTCGTGCTCGGGCTGCTGATGCTCGGATTCATCCCAAGCGTCCTGGTCTCCCCGTTCCTGCACGGGCTGATTCCGGTGTACGCCGCTGAGGTGTACGAGGTGGGACCCGCAACTCTCGGCTTGCTTATGTCTTCTGTGGGCGCGGGCTTCCTCACAGGAACGCTGGTGCTCGCGTCGCTGGGAGACGTACAGCGCAAGGGCCTGATGATTATGGGGTGCATCGCGCTAATCTGCGTATCGATGGTTGCCCTGGCGCTCAGCCCGACAATCAACATGGCGTATCCGCTGGTTGCCATCGGCAGCATGGGAACGATGGGGTTCTTCTCGATAACGGGCGCGACGATGCAGAGCATCCTGCCCGATGGGATTCGCGGCAGGGTGTCGGGCATTTACATCATGACATTCGGGGCAATGCCGCTGGGCAACCTCACGGCAGGCCTAATCTCGGAGAACATGGGCGCACCCGTCGCAACGCTGGTAGCCTGCGGACTGGTCGTAGTCGCCGCCTGCGTGGTGATGACTCTGTTCCCGTCGATCAGGAGGCTTTAGAGTCGGTCGTGTTGGTATCAGGGTTAGTGCAGCCGTTTTGATGTGTTCGACAGTACCACGAACGATTGGGCTGATCTGACTAACTGCTGACGTTCGCCTCCTGCCACAGGGCTTCCTTTTCGTCCATGGAGAGCGTGTCGAATGAAACGCCCTGCTCTCTGCTGAGCCGCTCCATGATGGCATAGCGCCGGTAGAAGCGGCGGTTGGTGCCGCGCAGGGACGCCTCGGCATCGATGTTCAGCCAGCGTGCGGCGTTGACCACGGAGAACAGCAGGTCGCCCAACTCACTTTCGCGCTCATCGTCAGTACTCGCCGCTTCAATCTCCGAAAGTTCCTCGGTCACCTTGTCGAGCACGCCTTGGAAGCTGTCCCAGTCGAAGCCGGCGCGTTCGGCGCGCGCCTGCACCGCTTGGGCATACGCCAGCGCGGGCATGTTTTTGGGGACACCTTCCAGGATTGATCCGCCGCTTGCCGCCTTTTCCTGCCGCTTGACGGCGTCCCAGCTGGCGATAGCCTCGTCGGCGCCCGACACCTGCTTGTCGCCGAAGACATGGGGATGGCGGCGCAGAAGCTTTTCCACCAGAGTGCCTAGCACATCCTCTCGCGTGAACTCGCCATTGTCCTCGCCGAGCTTGAGCTGGAACATGACATGGAAGAGCACATCGCCAAGCTCCTCCACCATCTTGTCGGTATCGCCTTCCTCGACTGCCTCTATGAACTCGTAGCACTCCTCCAGGAACATGCCGGCTAGTGCCTCGCGCGTCTGTTCTTTGTCCCAGGGGCATCCTTCGGGACCGAGCAGGCGCTCGAGAATCTGCTCGACGCCCGTGTATGTGCTTGGATATCCGGTGTCTGTCATTTCGTTCTATCCATCCTGTTCTTGCTTGTTCGCTCTCGTTACCGAAACGCTATCAGATTGGAGGAACGGATGGTAGCATTGGGGTATGAGACGCATTGCAAGAATCATCGCCGCGGTGATATTCGTGGCGCTCGTGCCTGTGCTGCTGATTACCAGCAGCGTGAGGTTTGTCATCAACCTGCCGGCGCTGTACAGCTATGGCTTCGACAAGTACGGCATTGCAGAGTACACCCGCATCGAGCGCGCCGACCTGATTGCGGCGGGGGCGAAGATACGCGACTACTTCAACAACGACGAGGAAGACCTGATTATTCGTACCTACGTGGGGGGCGTGCTGGTCGAGTCGCTGTACAACGAGCGCGAGATTCACCACATGCGCGATGTGAAGGCGCTCGTGCGCGGCGTCTATCTGGTGCAGATGCTCGCCTTGCTGTACATCGCTGTGTACATTGCCGTGGGTTTCTGGCTGCGGCGCGGCGACTTCTGGCAGACGCTGGGGCGCGATGTGAGCGGCGGCGGCAAACTGACGCTGGCGCTGGTCGGCGTTGTGGGACTGCTGGCTCTGGTTGGCTTCAACAGGCTTTTCCTGCTGTTCCACCTTATCAGCTTCAGCAACGACTTCTGGATGCTGGATCCGCGCCGCGACTACCTCATAGCGATGTTCCCGCAAGGATTCTTCTTCGAGGCTACGATGCTGATTGCGTTCTGCACTATTGCGGCTGCGGCCGTGCTCGCAGTCGCGCCGCGCATCGTCCGCATAGTCGCCCGTGGATTTAATAACCCGATTTAACAACCACCCACATGGCGACAACGGCTAGGCTGGCACAGGCGGCTACACATTGAAGCCGTAGTCGCGCTCCACCTTTGCCACGCGCACCTTGTAGCTCTTGTAGTAGGTTTCGCGGCCGCGCTTCTGTATGACGAGATGCTCTGCGAGCTCCTTGAACGCTCGTATCGTCTCATCGCTCTCCCAGTAGGAGACGGCGATGCTGAGGTCGTCATCGCCTGTTGCCTCGACGCCGAGGAAGCCCGGATGCTGCTTCGCAAGCTCCAGGATTGTCTCGGTGTCGTCGTCATAGTCTTCGTGCGCTCCGGTGTGCGTCGATGAGAATATCGCCGCGTAGTACGGGGGCTGCGGTGTATTCGCCTGCGCCATTTATGTGTTCCTCCCTGCGTCGTTACCTGCCCGTCAGAATGGTGACCACAGTGTCGAAGATTTCGTCGGCATGTGAGCGCAACTGCTCATCGCTAAGGTCCGCGATTGGATGGGGTGTGAAGATGACCGGGTAGCCGGATGCGCCCCACATCGCCGCCATCGAGTTAGAGGTCTCGATGAAGCTGTCGGTGCAGATTGTAACCGAGGGGATGCCTGCCTTCTCTACGTGAACTCCGTCGTGCACACTGCACGCGCTACAGGACCCTCAATCGCCTACGCCGACAATCACATAGTCGCACTCCTTCGCCATCTCCGCGACCACGGCGGGGTCTGCGGGCTTGGATGCCGACGGCTTTGCGTGGTACTTGATGCTGGTGATGCCGAACCGCTGGTCAAGCAGGTCGGTGAGCTGCTCAAGGTACTCCTTGGCGTTGACCTTGCTGTCGTCAATGACGCCTACGCGCTTGTTGTTCAGGTCTGCCAAGCGAGGCGCGCCCTGGAACTCGGGCACCATCGGCAGCGTTGTGGGATCAACCAGCACATAACGTTGTCTCGTCTCTACGACCATTTTAGTCCTCCTGATTCACATGCGAAATCGTTCGTAAGGGAAGTCTGTAGATTAAACACTCATTGCACAGGCGCAGGCACCACCGGCGCCACCACCGCAGCAGCCTCCTGCTCCCGCGACGGCGCTGGTCTGACCGCTGCTGTCGGATGAGAAAGCGGCGAATACGGAGAAGACGCGGCGCGACTCGCTGCCGCAGTCGGGGCAGGATGCGGGATCGTTCATCTGGCTCATAGAGCGGCGCTTGTCGAAGCGATTGGAGCAGGTAACACAGGTGTACTCGTAGATGGGCATGGGCAACCTCTCAGATTTGCGATATGTCGATAATTCGGTTCGTAGGTGAGCGAGTTACATGTCAGTTTCGGCTTGTAAGCGCAACTTCGCAGACGAACCGAAATGCTGAACAACTGATAGACTCTCTACGCCTCATTCTAGGGTTATCGTTGCGTCAGGTCAACCGAGCGGCGATAATGATTTGGCAGAATTGACGACGATTGAAACAAGTGAAGGACTTCGCATGAGCACAGCCAATACGCAGGCGGCATTGCCCGACGAGATGGGAAGGTTCGGAGAGTTTGGGGGGCGCTTCGTGCCGGAGACGCTGATGAGCGCGATCGAGGAGCTTGAGCGGGAGTACGCGGCGGCGCAGACCGATGAGGCGTTTCAGGCGGAGATGCGCTCGCTGTTGGAGCATTATGTGGGGCGACCGACGCCGCTGTACTATGCGGAGAACCTGAGCGCTGAGCTTGGGGGGGCGCAGATATACATCAAGCGCGAGGACCTGGCGCACACGGGCGCGCACAAGATTAACAACGCGCTGGGGCAGGCGCTGCTTGCGAAGCGGATGGGCAAGAACCGCATCATCGCGGAGACGGGTGCGGGGCAGCACGGGGTCGCTACGGCGACGGTGTGCGCGATGCTCAAGCAGGAGTGCATCGTCTATATGGGCGAGGAGGACATCCGCAGGCAGGCGCTGAATGTGTTCCGCATGCGACTGCTGGGAGCGGAGGTGCGCTCGGTGTCGTCGGGGAGCCGCACGCTCAAGGACGCCATCAACGAGTGCATCCGCGACTGGGTTACGAATGTGGAGGACACGCACTATCTGATTGGGCAGCGTGGTGGGGCCGCATCCGTACCCGATGATGGTGCGGGACTTTCAGAAGGTGATAGGGATTGAGGCGCGGGCGCAACTGCTATCGAGGGTGGGCAGGCTGCCGGACTATGCGGTGGCATGCGTGGGAGGCGGCAGCAACGCGATGGGGCTGTTCTATGAGTTCATCGGGGATGAGAGTGTGAAGCTGGTGGGCGTGGAGGCGGGTGGTGACGGCATTGAGACAGGACGGCATTCGTCAACGCTGACATCGGGCAGGGTGGGGGTGCTGCACGGGCAGCATGTCTTACCTGCTTCAGGATGAGAACGGGCAGGTGATGGAGGCGCACAGCATATCGGCGGGGCTCGACTACCCGGGCGTGGGGCCGGAGCATAGCTGGCTGAACGACGCGGGGCGCGCGCAGTATGTGAGCGTAACGGACACGGAGGCGCTGGAAGGTTTTGAGCTGATGTGCCGCGTGGAGGGCATCATTCCTGCGCTGGAACCGGCGCATGCGGCGTACTACATTTCGCAGCTCGCGCCTACGCTGTCGCCGGACAAGATTATCCTGATGGGGCTGAGCGGTCGCGGCGACAAGGATATGGACACGGTGGCGTCGGCGCTGGGTGTGAGCATATAGCGGTCAGCAGTCAGCGGACAGGTGTCAGACCGGGGCTAACATCGCTGCACAGGCTGATGATGAGTTCTTCACCCCCATCCTAACCTTCCCCCATCAAGGGGGAAGGGACTTATTATCAGGGGCTGCGGATGGTGGGGGTTTTGTGCTTGGCGGCTAGTGGGTTGGGGAGATGGGGGTGTCGTGGGAGTGGCGGCGGCTTGGGCGAGCTGCTCTGAGCGGGGTCTGATTTGCCGCCTTTGGGCGGGGATGCTGAGAATATCTGCGATGTCTTCTTCGGTTAGGCCGTGTTCGCGTCTGTCTTGTTGGTCGAACTTTGCCTGTTGTTCGGGGCTTAGCGGTTCGAAGTAGTAGTCTATGGTTGGGTCGGGGTCGCTGGGGCCGTAGTCGTAGATGTTCTTTTCTGGTTTTACGTCTATGCGGCGGTACTTTGCCTCTGCGCGGAGGGCTGCCCGCTCGTCGCCCCTGTCCATGGCTTCCTTGAACTCTTTGATGATGGCTTTGTCGTGTTCATTGACGGTGGCTGCCTTGTTCGGGAGCGGGCTTTGTTCGGGGCTCTTCACCCCCATCCTAGCCTTCCCCCGTCGAGGGGGAAGGGAATTATTAGTGCCTTCACGCCTGCTCAGTCCCTTAGTGAGAGGGAGCTTTGTGGCGGGAGTGGCGGCTTGGCGGTCTTCTAGATTCTTGCTTTCAGAGGAATGGCGAGAAGATGGGACGGTCTCTTGGAAGCGAAGAGGCTTTGAGTTGTCGTCTCGGTCTTCTTCTTCTCTTATCTCTTTGGCTATGGCTTCGTAGTCGGTGTCGTCGTAGTTGTCGTAGTCGTTGATGGAGGTTGAGAGACCGGGCTGGGTCTTTTTCTGGCCTATGGAGAGACGCGGGGAATCCTTGTCCTGCCAGTAGTCCTGGAGGTGCTTGGGCTTGATGTTGTCGTAGTTGGTGTCCCAGCCACGGCGCAGTAGCTCCTGTGCTGCGGACATGCGGTGGTGGATGGTGAACTCTAGGTCAGGGTCGGGGTCAGACATCACTTCCAAGAGGAAGCGGACGGTGTCAGTGCCGCGTTCGCTGTACTCTCGCATTCGCCTGGCGAGGTCGGTGTGCAGGGTGTCGTAGGCGTTTGCTTCGTCGGTGATGTCTGAGGGCTTGCGGCGCGAGCCGAGGTCTCCGAAGCCGCGACGCAGGAGTTCTCTTGCGGCTGCCATGCGGTCTGCGGGCTTGATGCGGAACTTCTTGGGAGTGAAGGGTCGGTCCCTGCCGGTCATTGTGTCCCACGAGGAAGTTGACTATGGGTGGCCTTCGGCGGTCTCGTGGGTAT